TTTAATTTATAAATTGAATAATAAAAATATATTACAAACAAATAAATTACACAAAATATAAATAAGTAAATAAATTATATAAATAAAGTTTTAATCTTTAACACAAATTATCATCCCATAAACATAAATATATAACCAAATAAATAGACACTTCAAGACTTATTTATGTCCTTCTAAATTTTCATTCTCCAGCAAAATATTTAAATTTTGTTTGTACAGCAATAATGTCTCAAGATCTAATATTAATTATCATTAAAGAAAATAAGATAATGAGTTTTAATCTAAACTATAATTATTAATTTGATAAGTAAAAATTAAAGATATTGAAATATATAAAATAAACAATATTATTGGTAACTAAATTATTAATTTTATACAATTAAATATATAAAATTATTTTTTTTGACTTGCCCCAACTCACCTTAACCTACTGACCAGATGGGTTGACCTATTTAGGTTTGGTTTTAATATGAGCTTAAATTTTCAAGCTCAGTTTACATTACTTTCAATTACAAATAAGTTGAATCAATGGGTTAAGCCTATTTTGACAAATCTACTTGAAAGATGCTGTTTCAAGTTAAATTATAGACCTAGATTATGTAAATAGAAATTTCAATTAAGAAAATATTAATCAATTAAGAAAAAATTTCTTAAATTTTTTCAAGTGAAATTAATCAAGAAAAAATTAATCAATTTACAAAAAATTAATTGAATGGAAATTTCAATCAAGGAAAAATGTAAAATTAATCAATTAATAAAAAATTTAATTTAATTGAAAAGGAAAAATGTGAAATTAGTCAATTAACAAAAATTTTGAAAAAATTTAATTGAATAGAAATTTCAATTAAGAAAAATCAATTTCGCTAGAGGAAGGGTTTGAACCTTCGACCTTGTGGTTAACAGCCACACGCTCTAACCAACTGAGCTACTCCAGCCATTTATATATATTCATTTATTTCCAACAATACTATATTTTCTTATAAAATACTAATTAAGAAAAAATTTCTGATACATATTGATCTGTTCAAGGGCAATTCAACCTCAATTCATCTAGCAAAGCATTCAAATCAGAGTAAGATGATCCACCTTCTTCCACAGCCTTCCTCGCCATATTTTTCAATTCCTTAGCTCGGCTTCTCATTTCCTCAGCTTCTTCACCAACCATTACCCGACTCACTGCCCTTTCTATATCTTCCTTGGTTACTTTAAATTTTGTACTGGGATCATCTCCCCATCTACACCATTCTTTGGCTCCAACGCCTACTCCAATCTTCAGAACTTCTGCAATCAGCTTTTCGTTGCAGAACTGTTCTGCACAAATTGGCCAAGTAACCATTGGCACCCCAGCAGTTATACTCTCTATTGTTGAGTTCCATCCACAATGGGTCATGAACCCTCCTACAGCTTCATGATCAAGAATCAAAACCTGGGCTGCCCATCCCCTAATTATCAAACCTTTCCCTTCCATCCTCTCTTCAAATCCTTCTGGCAACCATTCTTCTCTGTCTTCATCGTTCACCTTTCTTACAACCCAAATGAAATCCTGTCCTGAAGCTTCAAGGCCCTTAGCTATCTCATTTAGCTGAGCAGCTGAAGTCCTGAATATACTTCCAAAGCATATGTAGAGAACTGAGTTGGGTTTCTTCGAGTCTAACCATCTTAAACACTCATCTCTGTCAATGAAGGCTGCATTTCCTCTTTCGGCTTTATCTTCGTTGTTCCTGTTGCAGAGTGAAACAGGACCAACCTGCCATGCCTTCCTTCCCATAACTTTGGAATAGTGTTGTGTGTAAGCTGATTCTAGCTCGTGGAAACTATTTACTATGACTCCATAGCTTGTCAACTCGGATTTGATAGCTTCATCCATCAGCTTTTTCCGGTCAGTTTCTGCTGTATCTTTAATATAATCTGGCAGCTGCAATCTCGTCATCGTTATCTGGTCCGGAAGGCCAGGCACATCAAAGGCTTCAGATTCAGATGAGACCTTCTTGAAGGGTTCATGGCGTATTAAGCTATCAGCGACACAAAGAGCAAAGGAGCTTTTTCCATGAAAAACCAGCCTTGGGATCCCAAACTTGCCAGCAATATCAGTAGCCCATGGAAACATCCAGTCAGCCACAAGGCAATCGGGGCGGAGCTCTTCGAGGATCCGTTCAAGTGGTTGTTGGAAAAGGGTGACGGCCTTGAGAAACTTTGGTGTCATTTCTTGTGAAGTGATGGAACTCACGTTCTCGCATCCTTCAGGCAGGCCTACCTCAGATGCAGGAAATTTTATTACCATGGTACTAATGTCAAAGCCCAATTGCTTTTCTCTTTGAATTTTGCTGGCAAAGAGAAGAGCATTAAGGGGAGTAGTAACAATAGTCGCCTTTACTCCATGCATAGCAAAGAGTCTAGCCGTGTCCACTGTTGGGATCAGGTGCCCATGGGCAAGTTGTGGGAAGAAAATGAAATGAAGCTGGCGTGAATTTGAGGCCATTTAGCTTGGTTCAAGGGAAGAAACAGGACAGGAGTAAATTGATTTGGCAAGTGAAGTAAAAGTTAAAAACCTCCTTATTTATACACAAAGCAAATGACGGAAAACCAATGAAAACCCCGTTATTCTAAGACACAGGTGCTTGAAGCACAAAAAAATATCGTGATGGGTGACGTGAGTCTGTCTGCTTGGAGTGCAAGTATACTTATAGTTAATAACTACCCTGGAAGATATGTGAAAAGGTCATAGTTAACTCAAATATGACATAGAACAGACAACCACCCATCTTCATTGACTTATTTTATCAATAAAATATTAGGAAATCAACTTCTAACATCAAGTCCATATTCATTATTTTATGCTTCTCTCATGTGTAAATTACCTACTAATTTGTTTACTAGGTTGGCAGGGAATCTCAATCTACTTGGAAGTCTATTTGTTTTGTTTAAGTCCCAGTCTTAATAACTTTTTCCCCGGCAGCAACATCCTCATCTTTATGCGTTTACCTTATGGTCTCTGCATAATGAATTCAAATGGGAGCAGCCAATTACCATTCTGTTTAGCACTGGCACACACAACAGCACAAGAGCAAGTTACTTTTCATCTGTTTCCTATTCAGGCCCATAACATTTTGGATATGAATGTGTGTACAGCCCAGTACAGGAAAGTTTATGACATGTAACAATATTTCATGTAATAAAATAATAAAAAAAAGGAAAGGAATAACTAAATAAAAGTGATTTCCACTTTAATTTTACTTTAGTTCCCATTTTAGTGTATTAGAAAGATAAAAAGAAAAAGAAAAAGAAAAAGAGAATGTTTGCGTTATTATTCCTCAGTAGAACATACTCACATGCCTCCACTTAGCTGCAAAAATTCTCCACTTTCACTAGTAAGTCTCTCTCTCTCTCTCTTTCTTTCTGAATGCATTTTCAGCTTCCTGTTTGTTGAAATTCCTTTTCTTCCATTGAACAAGAACATGGGTTCCAGATTTTCATCCCTGTGAAACTCCCTCTTTTCTTCTTCTGCCACTCTGCTGTTCTTTACTCTTCAGTTTTAGTTCATGGCTCGAAATATTTAGGCTTTTATAGAGCATCAGAAGAAATGGGTTTTACGTTTTAGCTTCCATAACTGTAAGTAGTTTCACAGTTTAGTTTTAGTTCTGAGTTTGTTTTCACTCATGGAGCTGAAATGGGTTGTTACTGTTTTTCACCCCTGGAAACCCTCAGAATTACATACACTGCCACTCTTGCTCTTGATAATACTACCACTATGTTCTTTTAACCTGTCTCAGTGTTTTGATCTTGACCCAGAAGACAAAGCCTCACTGTTATTGTTCAGGTCATCCGTTAAAGACCCTGGCCAGAGCTTAGAAACCTGGGTTGGGCCAAACTGCACCAACTGGACCGGTATTTCTTGTGAAAACCGGACCGGTCGGGTTGTTTCTGTGAACTTGGCTAACATGAATTTGTCCGGTAAAGTGCACCCTGGCTTATGTGAACTGTCATTTCTTGAATACTTGAAATTGTCTCAGAATAACTTCAATGGCACGATTCCAACGTGTTTTGGTTCATTGGGTAGTCTTAAGACTCTTGACCTTAGTCACAATAGCTTTAGTGGCGTTCTACCTGATGATATCGTGAGGCTTAGACAATTAAGAGAACTTGTGTTGAATGCAAACCGAGAACTGGGTGGCGTTTTGCCATGGTGGATTGGTAATTTTTCCAGCAATCTGGAAAAACTTGATTTGAGTTCGAATTCCTTTCATGGGGAGATACCTGAAAGCGTGTTTTACTTGAAGTCTTTGAAGCACTTGGATCTTGGAGACAATCATTTATCAGGCAATATTCATGAGTATTATCAGTCACTGGAGTTTCTTAATCTTGCTTCGAATCAGTTATTTGGTACTTTGCCTTGTTTTTCTGCTTCTACTCAGAGTCTTACAGTTATGATATTGGCTAACAATTCTCTTGTGGGAGGAATACCTACTTGTATTGCCTCGCTGGAAGCATTGACGCACCTTAATCTATCATTTAATCACCTGAGCTATGGGTTATCTCCGAGACTTGTGTTTACAGAAAAGTTGCTTGTGTTGGACTTGAGTTTCAATGATTTATCAGGTCCTCTTCCTAGCAAAATTGCAGAGGCAACAGAAAAATCGGGCCTTGTTCTTCTGGACCTCTCTCACAATCACTTTTCTGGTAAAATCCCATTGAGGATCACCGAGCTGAAAAGTTTGCAAGCATTGTTTCTTTCTCATAATCTCCTTACAGGGGCAATTCCAGCAAGGATTGGAAAGTTGACCTATCTTCAAGTAATTGATCTGTCGCACAACTTCTTATCAGGTTCAATTCCATTGGACATCGTTGGGTGCTTTCAGCTGCTTGCACTGATGCTCAATAACAACAATATTTCTGGTGAACTTCAACCTGAGCTTGATGCATTGGATAGCTTGAAGATATTGGATGTAAGCCACAACAAGATTTCTGGTGAAATCCCACTAACCTTGGCAGGGTTAAAATCACTAGAGATTGTAGATCTTAGCTCCAACAACCTCTCTGGAACACTGAACGATGCAATTACCAAATGGTCAAACCTCAAGTATCTCTCCCTATATCAGAACAAATTCAGTGGGAATATATCCAGCTGGCTATTCACTTTTGAAGCAATCCAGATGATCGATTTATCTGGGAACAAATTCTCAGGTGTCATACCAGATGGTAGCTTCAACATTAGCTTCCACAATAACAATGGAAACAGTGATAGAGCACCTAAAGAACCATTTATTGCAATGAGAAATGCTGAGATAAAAATTTCTGTCATGGTCATTGATAGTAGTGAATTAAGCTTCAATTACAAGGTGTCTTCAACAGTTGGAATTGACTTGTCTGATAACTTGTTACGTGGTGAGATTCCAGATGTTCTATTTGAAGCAGAAGGATTGGAATATCTGAATTTATCTTATAATTTTCTCGAAGGTGAGCTTCCAAGTTTGGAGAACATGTGGAACTTAAGGGTCCTGGATTTGTCACATAATTCCTTATCCGGCCAGATCGCTGCAAACATCTCAACCCTTAAAGATCTGGTATTCTTGAATTTATCATATAACAGTTTTTCAGGATCTGTTCCTGATGACCAGGGATATCAGAGATTCCCAGGAGCATTTGCTGGTAATCCTGATTTGTGTTTGGAGACCTCTGGTGAGGGTTGTGACAGAGCAAGCCTCCCTGCCGTGCCTGGGAAGACATTTGAAGAAGTTGAGGGACCAATATTGGTTTGGGTGTTCTGTGTAAGTGCTTTTGTTAGTTTCTATTTTGGTGTTGTGGCTCTCTTTTGTTCAGCTCGAGCAAGGAGTTACATCCTCCAGACAAAATTTTAATGCAGTGAAGGCGTTCTTCTATACATTTACATTTCTCTACTTTAGGGGGCTACTTTTCTTACTGAGATTTAAACTACTGCTCAAAACATTAGAAGGTATGACATCTCAAAGATCAGATTCTCTTTATCCGGTAATGTTTAATCTAACACTTCTATGTACGACAGCTTCTATCTATTAAGATTTAATGGCTTGATGTCAATGATTAGATTCTCATTTCAATCATGAACTTGTTCTCTTAAATACCTGTGGAACTGCAATCTTTTGGGATGAAACAAAAAGCATCTGTTTTTATCATCAAAGGGAAGCCAAAGGGCTTAGAAGACTTATGTATGCCCTTTTCAAAACCTTTTCTCCTCCTTTTAGTTAATAACTGGTCATTTATGATAGTTCCCACTTCCTGGGTTCAAATTTAAGTATCCCATTCCCCCATAGGGTTCTATAAGTAGATTAGTAAGGGGAAAGGTGACTTGATTTTGGGTATGTCATCCTAGTGGTGTTGGTAGTTCAGAACATTGGTGGGTTTATTTACTCCACATTAGAAAGGAAGAAGTTCATTAAGTAATCTTGGTGGAGCAAGTACTTGATATTGGTGACTACCATTTTAGTTTTCGTAAATTAAATGCATTCAATTCTGAAAAGTTATGTTTGTTTATCAATGCTTAACCATTGATGGAAATGCTACATTTGTTCTCCAAGAGTTGTATTATAAAAAGACTGTATATTCATCAAGTATATAAAGAACTCCTCCATGGAACCATTTTCACTACTTGTGCTTGGAGAATGTAGAGTTTTGAAGCTTTCTTGTATTCTAGAGGCATCATAGCCTTTAAGACAGTGTTCTTCACGCCCAAAGCCAAACTTCTTCGTTCCTAGTGATGAAGAAAAGATTGATTGGCAAAACAAATCTTTGCATAAATATTAAATATCCAATAAGTCTCTCGTTTTAATGCTTTAAAAACAAACATAATATTAACTTTTAATACCTTTCAAAAAAACAAAAAACTTTTGCTTCCTCTCTTTAAACAGGCTGAGTAGATTTCAAATCTCTTTACCTCCCTTAAACCAATCTATTCTTTCCAAATTATAAATTCCAAAAGTTGATACCACTATAAGAAGCAAGAATTTCATAGAGGCTATCCGTAAATAATGAACAAACAAGCTCATTTTTAAAATGCGAGAATTGAGTAAAGGAAAAGAAAGACAACAGTAACAGAAAGTTGAAGAAAGAAAAAACTCAGAAGAGAATTATGAACCAACTCCATAGCAATAATAACAAAAGCTTACTGCACTATCAGTGGCAGAAGATAATTTAGGGCCTACAGCATAAAGTTTTCAAGCAATTGGCCTTAAATCCTATTTTATATCCACAATGATCCTTCTTACTTAAAACATGTAAGAAAAATATTTTAAGTAATCCCAGAAGAAAGGTACTAGTTGCCTGATCAATGGGTGTAATTGGTGAATATGTGCTTTTCATTCTAAATTGGGATTTGGAGTGCAAGCGTTTGCTACCAAAAGATTGTATCCTGAGAGGGAAGAAAGCACTAACACCAAAAGTCTTACAACTTTTCCATCCATTTTCTTTACTTATTTCTTCTTGTTTGTATCATTTCATAACATTAACCAAACCAAGATTCTCTATCTTCTTGGAACTGAGAAGGGGTTAATACATTGCCCTCTACTTGATACTGTACGATGAGCATTCAATCTTCCTTTCCTCACCCTGTATTATAAATAGCTGCGATTGCTCAACCTGGGATGTACTTGGGACTTGTGTAATCAAATTCATCGTAAAAGCTTTTCCAGTTTCTCGATCGTCTGCTTCACATAATGTCTTGCTGTGGAGATTGCTGCGGTAGTGGCTCCATTGGGTGAAAATTTTATTTATTTTCTTATTATTATGATTTCCTATATATATATACACACACACACACACACTCGGCTGCATGGACAGTAAAATTTGAGAAGATTGGTGTATATTTTTGTCTTGTTATGGTGAACAGGTATCCTGACTTGGGAAACTTCAAAAAGACCACCACTGAGACCACTGTCTCCGGGCTTGCCCCAATGAAAACGTATGCTGGCATTATAGTCATAGACTTGCATTCATGCCAAAATTATGGTCTTTAACCTTATATTTGTCTTCTTGCAATCACCATTCAATCAGATCATGATTCTTATGACCATTATTGGCAGGTCGTATGAGGGGCCCGAGAAGAGGTTTGGAGCTGAGAACGGGTGCAAGCAATGCGGATTCTCAAACTGCAGCTGCAAATGAAAAAGAAGAAAAGGTCCACATGTGTATGTATCTTGATATAGAATAAGACAGCCATTGCTTTGGCAGAACCTTTTCCAGGGTTTTGCTGCTGTGTTTCAACGGCTAGAATTTGGCCTTGCTAATTTCTGTCAGCGTCTGCTGTTTTGTCATTGTCGAGTGCTAGTCTTTTTGTACGTTTAGAAGCCCGAGAGGGGAGGTTGGGTTTTATGGAATGAAACATTTCAACGCTTTTCCTTTCACTTGAGTTGTGAATTGGCTACTTCCCTCTACAATTTCTATGCTTGAAACTTCTGATAAGGTCGATCAATTTTAATTCTTTTTGGGACCAAGCGAAGGTGTATGAAGATGATCATGCATATGAACATGATCTTGCTTTAAATTCGGTGAACCCTTAGTCATAATGTATTGAAATTCCCACTATTGAATAAAGGGTATAAATGATTTATATAAGTTCCCATCATTCAATTCTGTTTCATAATGTACCCAAAAATGGATTCCTTCCGTTCCTTCTATTTCATCATTTTCCTGTAAATTGTGTTTCTTTTCTTCCTTTGTTGAGAATTTTAATAATCCAAAGGCATAAGATGGGTATTTGTAAGCTTCGTCCTCGTGTGAGATGTTCAAGGTCTAGCTAAAGAAATACTATGGTCAGTCCATCATGACAAAGCAAGGATCCCTGGGAGTAGAAAGAATCTACTGGAACTAATACCTTGTTAAATAACATTTACATGCAAATGAAATATAGCCTTTAATAAAGGGCAAAAAGGTGACACAACAGCTTTCACAAATCGGCTTTCTTTTCCTGCAATAGTCAATAGCCAATAGGGCTCAACATAAAGGGCCAATTTTTCAATTTTAGAGCTAAACCTGTAACCAAGCAACCCTCACTACCCAAGACTCTTAAAGGGAGAATTACATGGTAAATCTTTGGGGAAAACAAAAGAAACAAAAAGAATAATTGTAAGTTTGATGGTTAGATCTATCCTGATCTACAACAACATTGTCGAAGGGGGCACTTATAAATCAAGGTTGACCTGCAAAATGTAAAAACAAAGCCAAAATTTCTCCTTGAGGTCAACAATTGTATATAACAGCCCAAGATTTCTTGTCGAAGCCAAAATTTTTATGTGCCATTTGACTTATTTTCCTGAGGATCCCTATCTAGCAACTTCAATAGCAGCAGAAAGTCAATGACCATATTCAATCTCCAAAAACCTTTGTATGAGCTCTAATATCTGATTGGACCATCCAGATTACCAGATGCAAACTGAAAATATGGGGACAAGGTGTGGCAATGAGATTAGATCATTTTGAAGTTGGTAAATACGTAAAGTTTGCATGTATTAACTCATCTAAACATGTTGCATCTACATAAGAAGATACTAAACCAACTGCCCTTAATGGTCATGCAAAGAGAGAGCAAGAGAGGTAATTATGAACATAACAATAGCAATATTAGATAAACAAAGCTTGATCCTTGTTCCACCAATCCAAAGTTACTCAACATGAGCAAAGGAAAAAGGCAACTACGAGTAAGGCAACGAAAGTGATAAACAAGACTTGAAACAAGTAGTTTAAATGTGGGAATATAGGCATTCAGAACTGACAAGCTCAGCCGTAAAAAAATTCCTAAAGCAGAGTATATCAATTAAATTAACACCATATTCTATGATCTAAGAAGGACTTGTCTCTTTAGAAGTGTTAGTAGGACAATTACCCTATGTGTATGTGCACTCACACACACCTTGTGTATGCATGTGTCTGTGTGCATGACAGTACCCTCTTGCAGATACATATTTGTATTAATTAGCAGTCCTCGAAAGAAAAATGTGCAAACCCTATTTTTTGGTTTGTTTTAAATCACTTAAATTTTGAAGGCATTTTGAGGCTAAAAACCTCAAGCTTCAGTTAATTGTTGCCTTAACTACTTATTTTTGCTTCCTCAAAAGTTACTAAAATGAAAAAGCATATAGTAAAAACTAAAAAGTTAAGATGAGCAAACTATTTAAATTGTAACACATTTAACCACAATTGTTCCATGTAACAATAAAATCATGCATCTCGTATTCAATTAATTTTTTATTTTAAATTATTCAAAAACATAGTTTATTTGTATATCTAGACACGCCTTTGCTTTTAGATTTCAGAAGCAAAATGATAAACTGAACAAAAGGAATCTAAGTATTTTATTAAAAAGAATATTCAAGTGTTCCACCAACTAGTGTTTTTTTATTTTTTTCCTAGTTCATTGCAACTAGTTTCAATCATTACCTGTCGAACAATTGGATTAGTTGACGTTGTGAATTCATCAGTCATTCCTTGCCAGACAACTTTCCCCTCATGAAGAAACAATAACCTATAAGTAGAAAAGTGATACTTTGAGCAGGGCATCCCACATCTAACAAAAGCAATACAACATCATGATCTCAGAAAACCTGTCAACAGCTCTTCTAATGGTACTATGTTGATGAGTAACAACCACGTAAGATGCAATCTTTCCAGGTTTTCCCAGCGCATCCTCACCCTTCGTATGGACAGAGCGGATAAGATCTTCAACCACAGTCGATGCAATTGGATCAAGCCCAGCTGTCGGTTCATCATATAAAAGCACCTGTCCAGGAGCAAAAAGAGTTACAAATTAGAGAGCAAGAAACTCGATTTATAGACAAAAAACACTAACATAACCATTTTTTTTCTGGTGGTACCCACCAAAACCAAGGCTGAATGAAATCAATTGCATATTAGGTATAAAGCAATAGCTGGCTCAATTTAGTATAATAATACATTTAGGAGAAATTAAAAACTTCTCATTGCATTACTTGCTTAAACATTGGAACTCAACATTTTGTAATACTCTCCCTTCCGAGTATGGTCAAGGAGCATGGTTGTTGTTTACTTTCTATGATAATTAACCAAAAGAATGCACTTAGAATGATAAACTTAAAGGGGCATAACTCTATGTAAAGCACCTAAGCTAGAGTATAAGCTCTCCTACCATATAAAAGAATAAAGAAGAGGAAAAAAAATGAGCAAATTTGAAGAGGCACATATAACCAAGAGTAATCATATCTTGGAGACACGTTCTACGTTGAGGCCACAATATATAAGCATAATATTTTCTACAGAAATGTAGACTACATTAAGATAAGATAACTTGCATAGGTCTCCAAGCTACTTGCTTTGACATTTTCTACCAGCCCCTCTCAATTCACAGAGAGAAGACCCACAGTCAGGATATGACCTACCTCCAATATAAAACAAATTAAAACATAGGACCTCATTTCAGGAGCAAAGCTGCAAATGAGCTATAGATTACCCCATGACTCGTGCACATAAAACAATAACAACTTGCTTTCTCTTAATTATTCTACTTTGAGTGAAGTCTTTTACTGGCCTTCTGCAATTAGAATCCTTATAGAAGATAAAATGAACACTAATCAGATGATGCTTAGAATAATAAATCATTATTAGTTGCCAAACCATTTGGATGTTCTACTGAATCTTACAAGCATAAGGAGTTTTAAGCAACTCAGTTAACACTATGGCTTAGATCAAACCACAATTTTCAAAATATTTCTATCCTCTAATGTAGATCTCTCTAGTCAACTGGTAAGAATACCAGAATAAAGGCCACAAGAAACAGCAACATCTATAAAAAAAAGGAAAGATTCTAAACCTGCTGCATATAATTTAGCATATAGACATTACCACATAATAAATTCAAGAGAAAGGTCAAATTTGCAGCTTTCTTCATTTGTTAGCTACCTTCAAATCACGAGGATGAAATGAAACTATTAAAACAAATTGAAAAGAAGAACAGGGGAGAGCAGAGGATGAATAGATTGATGGATTGGAGACAGAGAGATAGAAGACTACAGATTAAGACTTGAAAATAACTTGCAGTTATTGCTAGTGAAACATATGACAGATCAAATGATAACTGATTTTATAAATTATCACCTCCTCTGCACAAACTGGAAGAAAAGGAGGTGAGCAAGCCAGATTATACGCAAAGTGAAACAAGCAGACTAAATTTCATGTTCCTAGGGTTCAGGATTAAAATCTGAAAGCAAACAGAATCAACTGGATGCTAGTTGAAAGTCCACTTTCCTATGGTGCCATTAATTTGGTTTCGAAAACCATCTATAAGTTTACCTTAAGACATCTAAATGAGTCAGCCGTACAATGATGAAAATTTTTTATCAAAATTACAAAGGATTACTACAAAAGCTCCATCATCCATTTAATGAAAGTTAAGCAGCATTCCAGAGAGGAATTTATCATACCTCGGGCTCAACTGATTCTTTGGTGATATCATAAATTATGGAACGAGCTAAAGCAACTCTTTTCTTCATTCCTCCAGACAACTCAGAAGGTAACCTGTCCTCAACTCCCTGAAGAGAACATTAAGTTAGATTTGACATCAGCGGGGAACTAGAAGGTACATGTGTTCACATTGCAAAAGGAGGTGATGGAAGAGAAGATATACATGATACTGCTAAAAGCATTAATAAGCACAGATAGCATATGAGAATTGATGTTCAGCACGAGTCAAACTAACTATGAAAAAGAAATTTAAATAGACTTCATTATGTTGAAATCCAACATCATTGTAAGACCTTAAAATATTAGCTACATACTAACTAAATCAAGCATTTTTTTTTTTTTT